CTGACGGTGAGATTTGTTGGCATTTACTGCAAGCGATGTGGCAGAAGAAGGGCTACATCCACAGAGAAATCCTAGGAAATGCGCTAGGGCGAGGTGAAGGAGGTGGAGGGCCATTAGAGTGAGCAAATGTTTATGATGTCTCATGTTGAGATTATAGGCAGGAATACTTTAACGCATGAAAGCGGAGAACAGTAGCACTTAAGGTGGACGATTGACTAATCACGAAGTTAAAGTGGTTGTCAAAACAATGGCTGAAATGAGAGGAGGAAAAGTGGTGGTGAAACCGACCCTCTATCTTTGCATAACTTAGTGGATTTGGACCTTTTGGCGTGAATGTTCTGTTGAGTCACTGCAGTGTATATGAGTTGACACGATGGAATGTAAGGGAACAGACAATCCGCCCCATACGATGACGCAGGTATGTACGTTTGGCAGTCCACTTTCATGCTTCGGGCTCATGCGTCAGTACACTTTCAACAGCCTCGCCTTTCAATGGAAGGTGATGAGCTGTGAGGATGATACCAAGTGACCGCATTTGAGCCGCGGTAGGGAAGGGCTTTTGGTTTGATATTTTAAAAGGAAAACACTTAGTAAGCATATTTGATCACACAATCTTTACACATTGATACCTTCTCTACCAGTACGGCAACGCATCGCCTCGTTATCCACCATCGCAGTTTTATTCATCTATTCGATCATTTGTCATCCATCCATCCTTCCACCTCACCCTGCCTCCCTTTTTCCTCTTATCTATCTACCTATCCACACATCCACCCATATGATGCACCTACTTTGTCTTTTTTAATTATATTAATTATAATTATATTATTATATTAACTCATCACTTATTGAGTAGTTCCCCTAACCATCTACTTCAACTACCGTACTTCCACTCTAAGTGATGAACATTGGAATGCTCAAGTCTCATTTTATTGGTGATTTGTTTCGTTATAGTGTCAAAAGTAGGTGCTAAGACGAATTTGTGACTAGTCTAACCACCGAGGTCAGTCGAACCGAGGGACACAAATACAATGTCAGGTTGGTCAGTCGTAATTATTGCCTCTCAGTCCGCAGAAAGAAAGCAACTTAGCGATACACCTCGCTTGCTCCCTATTCACAGATCACTGCTACACAATACTAGGTACGATACACCTTACTGTTGATTTAGCAACACCATCATCATCATTTTAAATATTGCCTCTGCATGCTGTTCTTTCTCGTCTAAATTAACTAAAGCCCTCAAAGCCCTCTCAAACCATTCAAGGTGAAAAATGGCATGTTATCAGATTTTAAAACAAGTGGTAAAAAAAATGACTTTCATTGGGGCATCATGGATTATTCGGTTAGTGAAGGACCAAAGTGCTGCGAGGGCTGACCAAAACGGTTGTGGTACAAAAGCTCCTCGTTGTGTTTCCCGTTTAATGCTCGATCTTTTTTGCCAGGAAACCCAATCCCGACTCCTGCCTCTGACCGACGCTAAATCTAGCCACGCAGATTCCTACATTTTGGGATAGACCAATAAAAGGGAGAAAGCAGGAAAAAAAAGTAGTGCCTTACTCTTTTGTCTGTTTTCCTCTGGCATTTCCTTTTCTGGTACAACTCACTTAAATGATCGTATTCAGTGCCGAAGCGGAAGAAGGAAAGAAGTTGTGGATGAAAGCAGAGGTGCTTAGAGGCAAAATTTTGTTTCCAAAAGCAAAATATAGTAGCCAAGAGCCTGATTATTTCAAATTAATTGCCGTCTTTTGGTGCCTACATACTCCAAATTATAAGAAACAACTGATTTGATCTCGCACGTCACACATATGTGACGCTTGCGATTGGAGGTAAATGAAAATGAAAAATAAATTGACATGTCAACTCGAGATTGGTGTGTCAATGACTGTGCTCACCAACACGGGCGATACTAAAACAAATTGTTGAGATCTTTTTTAATCGAGATGGAAGAGATGTGGTAAAAGCCAAGCTAAGGCAAACCCCGTGAGTTACTTCGGCAAAAGATAGCACATAGTAGACTTCATTGCCATGCAAAACTGAATATTTTTAATAAGAAATACCCCCTTTATTCCTGCGCTACTCAAAGACATTGCTGGTTATCTTCAGACAATTCCTTCGCTATCTACAGCACAATTTTTAGATATATAAAGCACTCCACCCACAAGACCACAAATGCCAAAAAAATTTCACCTTATTTTTATCCCTCTATAGGAAATTTCTCAGAAAATAGCTGTCAGAGCTATTTGCTGGTAATACAAGAGGATAGTAGTGCTCGTCTCATGCGACAAAACAATACAAGACCTCACACCTCCGAAAATTTGACCTTTGGATAGAGGCGAACCTTGGAATAGAGGGGAGGACGTGAGGCAATGGGACAGTTTTTACCATTTCCTTACCCTCACTAGACAATCATAAATGATTTGGGATATTTAGCCTGGAAGTAAAAGTGGCACAGAAGTTGGGTTGATTAGGATACCTTGATTTCTTTCTAAGGCGAAAGCTTTATGAAAGTGAAGTGACACCAACTTTGTGCCCTGTTGGGAATGGGTGGTTGATTGGACAATTGTTGGTGTAACAAAAAACAATCGAACCTTGAGTACTCCGTACATTTTTGTGGATGTCATAAAGTACGCTGGGTCAGAGACGTGCTAGGATGTGATGGGAAAGAACAGGAACTTATGCCACCGAGACCGCACCACCTGCTCATTTGGACATAAATTTATCGTAAAGTTTGTTTTATTGTAGAGTCTACCAAAATTCAATGGGGTTGTAAGTCCCTCTACTATGGGGCACTGAGGAGTCAGACATTTGTATAAGACTCGTCTGGAGGTAGGTGCAGAGGAGTTGAAAGGCTGTGTACACGAATGCCAAGTCAAAGCAACACGATGTCCACCAAGACTTGAGGTACCTAAAAGCCCGCGCAGTTGGCTTGTAAAATTCAAACAAGCACCATTTTGTGCTATCCTAAACTTGTATACGCGGTTAACAGGGGTTTTTTTTAAAAAACAATAGCGAGTCGTCTATGCCCGCCTTTTTGTGTGCATTAGCTACAGAACACTCTGAAATGTCAGACAAATTAATGGCCTGCCTTACATTTATTCCGTGCCACTTCTTAAATGGCCGAATCAGACTGTGAATTCACAACTACTTCTACCACGTCATTAACGGAGATATTTAAATGGGCCTCTCGAAAGTCCTGGAGGATGGACTCAAGAATTTAGGCGGTCGAGTGTTCTGTTAAATTGATATTAGCTCACCACATCCCCACCTTACATTTCTGGGTATCCTCTTCAGCACTTCGATCTGTCACTGCCTCCTCTTGATCAACCCATCCCTGTCGATGCTTCAGAGATCGCAGTCCTGATTGAAAAACAGGCGTCACTAACTGTCTGGTGAAGATGAGAAACACTTGAGCTTAGTGTCAGTAATGCGTCTTGTCAGTTTTTTTATATCAGGAGTTCTGACCTCTTTGCAAATTGTATTTGGAAAGGGATAGAAGATTTCACGGGTTCTGCACTGCTTGAGGCTAGACGAGGCTCTAATAGCAGATGCAAGTCGTTTTGTATTCGCCATTAAAGGACACATTTCCCCTGAAGCAGTCATTAAGCAAGTGATATTACTATTTACTTTCTCTTTGGAAAACTTCATCCCACTTCTCTTTTTCCATACCACCTTAATTATAATTTGACCAAATCTGGTGTCGCTTCGGCTATTAACTACCCTATGGTCAGGGCACGAGGTAGGAGTGATCGTCAGAGCGGTACCCAGCTTCGAAAACGTCACGAATACGGCGCCGTGGGTCATCCCTGAAAGAACAGTAAGGCCTGCCACTGAGGTAAAAGGCTAAAATCACCATCCTCCACAAAGAGTGAGCCAGACTGTCAATATGGCAACCGAAGTGTGTCGTAGTTGTAGTTGTAGTTGCTGCACACCTGACTGTCTAGTCTCCATGACGGTAGCTTGGAGTGTTTCTACAAGGCGGGAAGGAGGGCAAAAGTCTCGTCAAGTAGACACAGGATGTAAAATTGCCTTTTCTATTTCACAACTCTTTGTACGCATTTCAAGTGTTGATAGAAAAAGTACTACTTTAATAATGCTAATTTGTCAAGCTGTAAATCATACTGAACTAAATTTAACCTACCCCATTAACTGAGGATGGAAAAAATCTTCTGCAGATATCATTTTGCAGCTAAAATGATATAAAATTTTAAGGAAATGTACTCTCCCTATCCAATTTGGCATTTAGGGCGTTTCTACTCCAAAGGGTGCGCTTCAGAATAAACTACTCAAGCTTTGGTGAGGACCAAAATATTCCCTCTTCTAGGTCGGTCGAGGTATACACAACCCTCGAAAATTTTCCCGTTTTAGCTTTCTGGCCGCTTTTTGGAGGACCTTATTTCTCCTGACATTTTGGGTTATGCTCCTATTTGCACCCTCACGGAGGCCCCATCATTGACCGTCTACATAAACTGCTATGGGGTCAAGGTCATTCGAGGAACTAATAATTGGGCGAGGATGAAATCAGCTCCCGACTCACCACCCCAGCACGCTGACACTGTGTTCCAGTTGGGAGTACGTTGCCGGCACTGAAAACCTTGTTGTCTCAAGGTCCGGCTGCTTGATTATTCTGGTTTAAAGGAAAAAATTTACTAGCCAAAGAAGAATTATTCAAAATTCAATTAGTGGTGCATTTCCTTTTTTCCCTTAACAATGAAGTGATTCCCCCAGGATCGATGATTCTATAAATGCAAACCATGATTTGCTTTTTCCGAATCTTTTCTCTCATCCTCCTTGTTGAGAGCAGTCACGTGCACAAAAAGCGTTTTTCTTTCTCCTAGACTCGTCCTCTACCGACAAAACTAAGTCCGAGGTTGAGAAATAAAAATCTGAGGTGAATTATTCCACAAAGTAGGGCAAGAGTGGTGCGATTTGCAAAGGGCGATGCCCGAGATTAGATTCGAAGAATGAACTGAGACAATGAACACTGGAACGCGTTAATGGCTGTAGTGCTTTGTCACCACCTTTGACATGCAAAATTGTCCTTTCTTAACCTGCCTCATCCATATTATAGGTCAATCTGTGTTGTGTTGGTGCATCCAACTGTTGCTTTCCCTCCAGATACCTAGGTTTAAGCACCACCATGGTTTTACGAGGAATCACTTATACCGTTGATAGTCCCTGCCACCTAAGGTTGTGGCATAGTGTAACCCATCTTCAGGTGTGACCCGAGCTCTACGATTTCGAAAGTGCCGAAGTAGACATCATTTCAGAGAACAGGAAAAACTGGAAAACTGCCAGGATCAGGTGATCAAAGATGTTTATGGTAACTATGTAGAACTTTAGAAGTGTAAAATAATTCCAATCGTTCATATACGCACGTATGACAGCGCGGATTTCTGTACGGTGCAACTTATTGTATTCTTACGCCTTTCTCTCAAATTTGGGCCCTCTCCTCACGAAATGTCGGCCAAACTAAGTAGTTAAATGAGATTTAAGCCTGTCTACGTTCATAGCCGAGATTGCAAAGCCAACGAAATCTTTTAAATGCAAGTTAAACCCAAAGAAAGTAGGATAGATGTTAAATTCCGTTTATAAATCGCTCATTTAGATGCATCTTGTGTCACCATTGACAAGTCATTGCGAGATTAACATGTCAATGACTGTACTGCGTAAAGTGTAGCCTCAGCGTGAGGGTTGTAGCGACAAACCGTTGACAGTCACATCATCAGGCTTGGAAAAGGCATGGTGAAGGCTAGCCAATTCCGCCTCGGCCACATGGGTTGTCAACTGATGCCAGACAGGAAACCTCGTTGCAATGTCTTTATCTATACTCATGCATGGCTATTCAGAAGCAAATAAATAGCCTCCTGTAGGTTAAGAACTTTTCATCTTCTCCCAATATAACATAAGCATGCAACAAAATCCATTTTTATAAGCAACTTTTGTCTTTATAAGGAGAATGAGATCGCAACGTCTTCTGGGCATGAAGTGGTGATCGGCTTAGAAGGTGGGGATTGATGGGGAGATAGTGGGTCGTGTTAGGTCACCCGATGACACGCGTGTCCGCTTAACGACTCATCGGCGATCAACTATTCAAGCAGTTGACAGAACCTGTTGCATTAGGCACTCTTATTAGGTAGAAAGAGCAAAGAACAACGACTTGATGGTCACTGAAGTCTTCCGTAGCTAATGCATGTCGATGTAACCCACATGGGCTTGGCTTGACTTTCACTAGGCCACCTCTTTCCCATTTGATGTGATTGTCAACAAGTTGTTCCAACATCGATCACATTAGGTATTACTCGTGACGCAGTACAGTCGTTAACACATTAACCCCGTGTTGAGGTGTCACTGGTGCTACACAATTCGTCATGATCACGAAAAGGCCGTCTTCTTAATCGCTATGCATCTCAACTTATTTAAAATGTGATCAAAGCAAAAAAAACCTCTAAAGCGTTAAAATGATATTTGGGAGTTTTAGGAAGCATAAATCAAGTGCTGTACACCCTTCCGTGATTAAGCGTGGCAGTGGGCAAGAAAGGTGCTTTAACGCCCCGAAAGTCTGACTGACCACGAACATCGGTGGGACGTCATCAAAGGGAGACGGCTTTTGAAATGACGGACAATGAAGAGGCTGAGTAATTAAATACACACAAGCATTAACTTTAGCAAGTGGTGCAGATAAGCAAACGATAATTTGCGAAACCTCATCGCTCAACGACAGCCCATCAAATGCACCGCAACTAGAATTAAATACCCGAAGCACTAAATTTGATCAGATAACTTGGAAAATTTGCACTGTCACAACTACAAGAGTTTATTGCTGTTTTAATGCGACAAAGAACTAACTTTCAAAATTTTTTTTATCCGCCTTAGTTTATTTTCCCCTAATTTCAACTGTCACATATGTGTGACGTGCCAGGTTGGGTAAGAAAACAGGTCATGGATTACTTGATCCTTGCAAATTATACTAGGTAGGCACAAAGTACGATGACCAATGCCAGAAAACAGATGTTTGCGCAAAATTTTGCTAACGATGGTAAATGACACGGCTTTGACCATCTCCACGTTGATTACCCACTTTTTCCCCAACAACCTCCTCCCTATTGCATGATCACTTAAGTAGTTTATACCAAGATAGGAAATATCAAAAGGAAACAAAGGAAAAAAAGAGACGGTACCAATCTTTTTCTTTCCTTTCTTTATTCATTAGGCCTACCCTGAAATGTAAGCATTTGCATGACTGGGTTTAGCGTCAGTAGGAGATAGGTGATCTTAGTTTGGCTTTTCTGGTAAAAAACTCAAGCTCTAAATGGAAAGCACAGCATGCAGCTTTTGTAAGGCAGTCATCGTTGCGACATTTTGGTCATGTAATAACAGGATAACTCATGCTACTCTAGTAGAGGACATTACTGCGAAGAAAGGTTGGATAATTATTCCTAACTTTTCAGTACTGTCAAATTGTCTGCAAGAAGTGCACTTCCCACCGCATTGCAGCCTTCATGACTGTCGAAATCCTCCTAGCAGTGTTGTCGGGCACACGACTAGAGAAGTGGCTTTATATGCAGCACCTACACAATACCACGAGTCTATCCTGAAGTTGTAAGGAGTCAGGGCCCTATGACGGGACGTGTAGAGCTGAGAGGCTACTGTCATGCCTAGGAGCACCAAGTAAGCGCACAACTAGAGCGCAAAGTTTGGCAGACTACCCAAGTATTACACCGACATAGGGGCTAGAAGACTGGTAGTCCACCATCAAACCAGAGAGAACAAAGAGCGGGGTTAAGGACACCACTAAAACAACCGCCAATCCTTTACCCAGTACTATTGTTAGCACACAAAATCATAGTAGAGACAGATTTCCACATTTGAATGATGCAGAAGTAGCTCTTTTCCTTCTCTCCTTCCATTAACACGTATAGGCGGTAAAGGGTAGGTATATTTTACCTTTTTATACCTTTTAGTGGACCTTAAGTCCACTTAAACAGAAAACTGATGCTGCGATCATGGATTACATCAGCTTAAACTTCTGTTGGTCAAGGAAATAGAGGCGTTAGACAATTCCATTCCACAGATATTGCAATTTGGAAGGGACTGAAATAAAGGAAAGAATAGTGACAACTGATTGCAAAAAATAGCCCTCGATTATCTCAAGCAAAGAGAAGTTGTGATATCACTAAACTGCCAAACAACCTGAAGGCTGCGTTCAAATACGTAAACCTTCTAGGCGGTGTGTTATATAATCCACTTCTACAATCCTAGGGACATCAAAGGACTCAATTTTGTATTGCTATCTATGACGTTAGACAACGCTCCTTTTTGATATTCTACACGCTTCAAAATCAGTGTTCTTGTCAAGTTTCACTGATAGGTTGTAAAGATAGTAATAAGGTCCATTAGGTCAAGGTTAGCAAATGTCATGGGGAGGCTAAAAGGAAACCATTCTGTGTCTTCGGTAGTCCACCCTGCAGTCGAGTGCGTGTCCTTCTGCAAATTAAGGCAGTGTGCTTGGAGGCTTGGTGGGATTACGCATCTGAGACTCTAGCATTGGCATTAACTAAATGACCGATTTAATGATTCCACAACAAAAGGATGGAAGAAGTGCGTATGTCCAGACGAGGGACATCCAAGGCTCTGCCTCCACCACCACCCCCGATTTTTTATAGTTGAAGCCATTCATTTTGCAAGGGGTTATGTGACTGCTCTCTTCCTGTCTGTAAGCATTTGGCAGTCATTAGCAATTATTGCCAGCCACACGATTAGGAGGTCCACCTCACAGTAGACGCGAGTTGTTGGAGATCTCGATTGCATCACTAGCAGACAACGCCAGTATTGCAGTAGACAACCCATTCCGCACCATTCTCCCCTCTTGTTTGAGCTTCATTAATGCTCATAAGAGAAGTTGTGGCGGCTGGCACAGAAGAGTGATTGGGCAGAACCAAGGATGACACCTGATTGAAGGAGGAATCTATTCAATGGAAAGCATGTGGTTTGTATAAGGCGCGTATCCCACAACTCAGACTCTTCAATCACCTCCAATGTGGTTATCATCAAGATGTCATTACGCGGTGGCTCTACTAGGCTATTGGTTTCTCAGCCCTTCTGTGTGCTTTCAACCTAGACAGTAGGTACCTACCTTTCTCAATCAACGTTCTTCTTCTTCTTTAAAGTTACCTCTCCAATTCGCTCTATGGTCGAAATATGAACAAATGGAGTCCTTCAAGCATTTCCACAGAATCTATTTAATTTAATCTCTTTCCTTCACCATGAATATTCTAAGAGTTGGATGAAGACGAACAATAGGCAACCAAGAGGAAAGGTTAGGGATCATTTGTTTGCGTATTGGGAATGTGGAATGCCTTTTCTCTCCCGTAAACCCTCTACGAAAAAGGTATTGTAGCAAGTAACTTTGCTGGATCATCAAAGACGGTATATGACTTCCGCCCACCACCAGAATCGGCATTGCACCATAAATGGGCGGTGGTTGTTGATGATCCGTCAAGGTTGCCTTACCACCCAATGGGGATGCTGGGTGATGAATGTTGCTGTTTGCGCCTTATTTTTGATTTTTACACCCTTAGCTGCAATTTTTGTCAGTGCTGTTTAGACAGGCAGCCTAAAATCATCGACTTTACTGATACCACCTCTGTGACTAGGGCAAATTAAGCCAAAAGAGTCCTTCTGCTTTTGTTTTTCTGGCACATTTGAAAGGAAATAAAGGAGGTGGCCCACGGAATGCCAAAATTGGAAAGTCATTTGGTGAAAAGTGTAGATTGTAGAAATTGGTGAGCCGCAGGTGTAGCCATTAGGGAGCGGAGAGGAGCATTTATAAGCAGCGTCATATAGCTGATCGAGTATAATCGAGGCTTGCTCGTCAGATCATACTTTCCCACCTCACTTATCCAACCTTCTATTCATCTATTGCTTCATCATTTAATTTGCCCTATTCGTTTATTCACTCATCCACTGACCCGTCTATTCAGCAGCCACCTGTTTGTACTTCTTAGGTAAACGCCTATTATATCGATGAAGATAAAATGTACTTACAACCCTGATACCTAATGGATGCTTGCTTAATGGAGGTCGTTAAGGGATCAAGTTTAAGTAATAATTTGGAGCTTTGAAAATGATGATTTAATCCCTCCTGTTTATCCATCCTCATATCCCATGCGCATCTATCCACCCGGTCATCCAACAACTATCTACCTCTCTATCCGCCCAACCATCTATTTGCCCTCTATTCCTTAACCAATGCATGCGTTGTAAATAAATAATTTGTTTTAGTGGGGTGAGGAAAAAAGGACGGTGTTTTTTGTCAAATATAGGATGGAATCACAAAGTCCACATTTGTTG